CAGTGCCACGTGGGGCTCCTCGCATCTAGCCCTGCCCTCGATCCACCTCCTTAGATGACAGGGCCAGAATTGATGATCTCAAATAATCACAATGCTTTATCATAGAAAAAAAATTGGATTGGCTGAGATTGGCTGATATTGGCTGATATTGGCTGATATTGGCTGATATTGTCAATTCTGATGATGTCAGCCAAGGAGGAGGATCAGGGGTGGGGCACTGCCCCAGGAAGCACCTCTAGTGACTGTCTGATGAGTGGCTACTAGAGGAGTTCCTAGGCTTCCTTACTTATTGGTTTCTACCATCTCCTCCCCCAAACTGTCTGTGGACCCCGCAAGCTCAGACCACCCAGCTGATAGATACAGCTACAATTCTTGCTGTTTTGCACAGTCATACACATGTTTAAACTTTGCCCAGTAATGCAGAAGATTAATAATGAACCAGAGAGCAATACTTACAAATTAAATATATCAAAATAAAAGCAAAAGGCTGAAACATTTTAATATATTTAACATATTTGACCTGTTTAAAGATGAATAAGGTAATGCATTCAGAATAATCAGAGCAAAGTATTTTGTAATCTTGAACAATATCTGCTGTCACTCATGTCCAAGACCAGAAGGAACAAAATAAATTCTCATAAAATACCACAAGGTGGCGCAATAATTGATGGTGCACAGTAAGCGTGCCATTTACAATCGCAGACAAATGATTTACCTACTCCACTAATTCCTTCATCCAGGTATAATTAATTTCATGTACATATCAAACAAAATAAAATAGAACAAAAGTGCATTACAGTTATTACATTAAAATCTAGAGCTTACAAAATAGAATGTACTTTGCAAACAGTGTTAATATAAAAATATTGTAATCTGTAAAATATTTTTTGTAGCAGCTACTAGACATGTGCATTCGTTTTTGTACGAATATGATTTAGTCAGAAAATTCTGGGTTTTTCATATTCGTTTTCTAAAACTTAAACGAAAGCCCTACATACGAAATTAAATGAAACAAAAGGGCAAATTCCAAATGCATTACCTTTTCATTTTGTTTTGTTCGTTTAATAGGAATTAACCCCCAGAGCACGGAGAAAATAACAGTGTGCATGTGCGACAAAAAAAAACAAGGAGGGAGCTGGTAACCTTGTAATAATATTAATTCCAACTCCCCTCTACCCCTGCATTAAAACCTATGGGGGTCATTATGACCCCCTTATTAATAAAAGGGAGGTTAAATCCTCCTGCATGCCTCTACTCGCGGTATGCCGCGAGTAGGGGCATGCCACCTAAACAGTGGCTGCTTGCTGTCATTTAAAACTTAATATAAATCTGTATGGGGTCATTATGACACCCATATTGATAAAAGGGAGGTTAAATCTTCCCACGCCACGAGTAGGGGCATGTCGCTTAAACAAATTTGAAAGTACTAGTGACTGGGCAGCTGTTGCTGCCCAGTCACTAGTGCAATAAGGGGGGACCTGAAATGGGGGGAAATAATGTCATGGCCTACGCATGACCCATGGGTGGGGGCTATTAATATAAACATGAGCAGCGGATGGGGACCTTAATTAAATAAATAATGGGGGGGACATAATGTCTCCCCCAGGTCCCCACTCATGAGCAGCGGGTGAGGACCCTAATAAAGTAAAGGGGGGACCTAATGTCCCCCCTGATCCCGACCCATGAGCGGTGGGTGGGGATCATAATAAATGATAGAGGGGACCTAATTTCTCCCCTAGGTCCCCACCAATGAGCGGCAGGTAGGGAACCTAAATAAATGTATTATCAGAGAGGTATGAGTCAAATTACACAGCATGGGAAACTTCCAAAGAACTTTCCCACGCTGTGTAAAATGACACAGATCACTGTGATTGGTGGATTTCAAACCAACCAATCAGAGTGCTGTGACAGGTAAATGTAGAGACTTACCTGTTAGTCTCTTCATTTACCTGTCAGAGCACTCTGATTGGTTGGCTCTGATAATACATTTATTTAGGGTCCCCACCTGCCGCTGATTGGTGGGGGCCAGGGGGGACAGGTAAATGTAGAGACTTACCTGCTTAAACCAATCAGAGTGCTCTGAGCCTAATAGCTGGGTGTGGGAAGGCTTTATAATCTTTTCTCCGCCCTGCAGAGCACATTCTGTGCCATGGGTGAAGATTAGTGATGTCGCGAACATAAGATTTTCGGTTCGCGAACGGCGAACGCGAATTTCGGCAAATGTTCGCGAACCCCCGAACCGGGCGAACCGCCATAGACTTCAATAGACAGGCGAATTTTAAAACACACAAGATGTTTCAAGGGGACTAACACCTGGACTGTGGCATGCAAACTCCGATCCGCGGCTGCATCTTGCAGCCGCTTAGTAGATAACTCCCTAATTCCCACGGTATTAGGGAGTTATCTACTAAAAGGCTGAAAGACCTAAATTGGTCTTTCAGCCACATTTACTAATACGAAGTAAAGATTACTTAGTATTAGTAAATGATCTGCCCCTACTCGCTATGCAGCGAGTAGGGGCATGTCTAGTAAGCAGTGAGCAGCCAGTGGCTGCTCACTGTAAAAAAACAAACAAACAAAAAAAAAAAACTATTAGCTCCCACCCCTGTGCATAGAAACATAGAAACATAGAAACATAGAATGTGACGGCAGATAAGAACCATTCGGCCCATCTAGTCTGCCCAATTTTCTAAAAACTTTCATTAGTCCCTAGCCTTATCTTATAGTTAGGATAGCCTTATGCCTATCCCATGCATGCTTAAACTCCTTTACTGTGTTAACCTCTACCACTTCAGCTGGAAGGCTATTCCATGCATCCACTACCCTCTCAGTAAAGTAATACTTCCTGATATTATTTTTAAACCTTTGTCCCTCTAATTTAAGACTATGTCCTCTTGTTGTGGTAGTTTTTCTTCTTTTAAATATAGTCTCCTCCTTTACTGTGTTGATTCCCTTTATATATTTAAATGTTCTATAATATCCCCCCTGTCTCGTCTTTCCTCCAAGCTATACATGTTAAGATCCTTTAACCTTTCCTGGTAAGTTTTATCCGCAATCCATGAACCAGTTTAGTAGCCCTTCTCTGAACCCTCTCTAAGGTATCAATATCCTTCTGAAGATACGGTCTCCAGTACTGTGTACAATACTCCAAGTGAGGTGTCACCAGTGTTCTGTACAATGGCATGAGCACTTCCCTCTTTCTACTGCTAATACCTCTCCCTATACAACCAAGCATTCTGCTAGCATTTCCTGCTGCTCTATTACATTGTCTGCCTACCTTTAAGTCATCAGAAATAATCACCCCTAAATCCCTCATATGTTGAGGTTAGGACTCTATCAAATATTCTGTACCCTGCCCTTGGGTTTTTATGTCCAATATGCATTATCTTGCACTTATCCACATTAAATGTCAGTTGCCACAACTCTGACCATTTTTCTAGTTTACCTAAATCATTTGCCATTTGGCTTATCCCTCCTGGAACATCAACCCTGTTACATATCTTATTATCATCAGCAAAAAGACATACCTTACCATCAAGACCTTCTGCAATATCACTAATAAAATATTAAAGAGAATGGGTCCAAGTACAGATCCCTGAGGTACCCCACTGGTGACAAGTCCAAGCTTGGAATATATTCCATTAACTACAACCCTCTGTTGCCTGTCACTCAGCCACTGCCTTACCCATTCAACAATATTGGAATCCAAACTTAAAGATTTCGTAGTTTATTGGATAAGTCTTCTATGTAGTGTCAAAAGCCTTACTGAAATCTAGGTAAGTAATGCCTACTGTACCAATTCTTGATCTTATAATTTTAGTTAATGCAATCAAAAAATCAATAAGATTAGTTTGGCATGCGATCTTCCCTGGAAGTAAACTCCATGTTGTCTCTGATCTGAAATTCATGTGTTTTTAGATGTCTATCAATTCTATCCTTAAATATGGTTTCTATCACTTTTCCTACTACTGAAGTAAGGCTTTACTTTACCTATAGTTGCTCACTCTCCTTGGCTACTCTTTCTTGTAAATGGGCACAACATTCGCTAACTTCCAATCTTCTGGGACTACTCCTGTTAACAATGATTGGTTAAATAAATCTGTTAATGGTTTTGCTAGTACACCACTAAGCTCTTTTTTAATAGCTTTGGGTGTATTCCATCAGGTCCCATTGACTTATTTGTCTTTACTTTTGACAGTTGAAATAGAACCTCTTCCTCTGTAAACTCACGTGTAATAAATGACTCATTTATCCTTTTTCTCAACTGAGGTCCTTTCCTTCATTTTTCTGTAAATACAGAACAAAAATATTCATTGAGGTAGCTGCCTGACTCTTATCCTCTTTCTAAGTATACCTTCTTTCTTTTGTTTTAATCTAACTAATTTTGCTTTTACTTTTTTTTCTTTACTTATGTATCTAAAAATGTTTTATCCTCTCTTTTTACGCCCTGAAGTATTTTCTTCTGTGTGTGTGATTTAAGTTTTATAATCTCTGCTTAAATTTCTTCTGCCTAATCTTATAGATCATTTTTTGTCTCTCACTTCTGGGTTTTATAATTCCTAAATGCTAACTTCTTTTTGTTTTAAATTATTTGGCCACATCTAAGTGAGTACTGTTGGTGGTTTCTTGAATTTTTTGTTTCTTACTGATGCTTTCCAATGCAATTTTCTTGTTGCCTTCGGCTAGTGCAACTTTTAAATAATCCCATTTTTCTTGGACTCCATTTAAATTGCTCCAGTCTGATAACACTTCTTACCCATATTCTAATTTTAGAAAGTCTGTTTTCTAAAGTCTAAAACTTTTGTTTTTGTGTGGTGTGACTCAGTCACTGTTCTTATATTAAACCACACTGACTCATGATCACTGGATCCTAAACTTTCACCTACAGTAACATCTGATACTAAATCTCCATTTGTTAACACTAAATCTAGTATGGCCTCTTTACGAGTTGGCTCCTCAACAACTTGGTTTAGAGACAAACCCAGGAAGGAGTTTAGAATATATGTGCTCCTGGCACAAGTAGCTAATTTTGTTTTCCAATTTACATCAGGAAGATTAAAGTCACCCATGATGATAACTTCCCCCTTCATTGTCAATTTAGCTATTTCCTCAACTAGTAGATTATCTAACTCTTCAATTTGTCCTGGGGGCCTATAAATCACACCTACACGAGTTACTGTGTGATTACCAAATTCTAACGTAGCCCAAACGGACTCTATGTTTGCCTCACTAACTTTTATTAGGCTAGATTTTATGCTATCCTTCTCATACAAGGCCACCCCTCCCCCTTTCTTGCCTTCCCTATCTTTCCTATATAAAGAGTACCCTGGTATTGCTATGTCCCAGTCATTTTTCTCATTGCACCATGTCTCAGTAACAGCGACTAAATCTACACTATCAGTTGCCATTATTGCTACAAGTTCATGGATCTTATTCCCTAAACTGCGAGCATTTGTAGACATGACTCTAAGCTTATCATTTTTTAACACACTTGCTACAGGCACCTTCTGTCCTTGTTTTGGGGGACAATTGGATTGATGTTTTATCACCCTTTTGCCCCCCCCCCCCAGTTTAAATACATCCTAGCAAAACCTCTGAACTGCTCACTGTGAACATTTGTTCCCTTTTGAGAAAGATGTAAACCATCTTTTTTGTACAGTTTATTTCCATTCCAAACAGAGCTACCATGAGAAATAAAGCCAAATCCTTGCTCCCGACACCATTCACCAAGCCACAAATTAAAGTCCCTAATACGCATCCGCCTGTCGCTCTGAGTGTTATGCACAGGCAGAACTTCAGAGAATGACAGTGTGGAAGCAACCTGCCGTATATCATTGGCAAAAACACTAAAAACTTCCTTAACCTCTGAAACCTCATTGCAAGCTAAGTCATTTGTCCCTAGATGGACAAGTACATCCAATTCCCCTTCCTTCTTTGCTTGCTTAACAATATTACAGATACGTCTCCTGTCTCTGTGAGCAGTAGCTCCGGGAAGACACCTCACAAGACCACCATTGTCCATCTCCACACCTCTTATAATGGAATCACCTAACAACAACTGCTTTCTATTAGGCCTCACCATAGTCTCCAAGCCGGTCTCCACAACACCACTAGTCTCAGTGCCTCTCTCCACAACAACACTAGCCTCAGTGCCTCTCTCCACAACACCACTAGCCTCAGTGCCTCTCTCCACAACACCACTATCCTCAGTGACTCTCTCTACAACACCACTAGTCTCAGTGCCTCTCTCCACAACACCACTAGCCTCAGTGCCTCCTCCACAACACCCACACTATCCCCAGTGCCTCTCTCCACAACACCACTAGCCTCAGTGCCTCTCTCCACAACACCACTATCCTCAGTGACTCTCTCTACAACACCACTAGTCTTAGTGCCTCTCTCCACAACACCACTAGCCTTAGTGCCTCTCTCCACAACACCACTAGCCTCAGTGCCTCTCTCTACAACACCACTAGTCTTAGTGCCTCTCTCCACAACACTACTAGCCTCAGTGCCTCTCTCCACAACACCACTAGCCTCAGTGCCTCTCTCTACAACACCACTAGTCTTAGTGCCTCTCTCCACAGCACCACTAGTCTTAGTGCCTCTCTCCACAACACCACTAGCCTCAGAGCCTCTCTCCACAACACCACTAGCCTCAGTGCCTCTCTCCACAACACCACTAGTCTTAGTGCCTCTCCTCACAACACCACTAGCCTCAGTGCCTCTCTCCACAACACCACTAGCCTCAGTGCCTCTCTCCACAACACCACTAGCCTCAGTGCCTCTTTCCACAACACCATTACACTCTGAAAGTGCAGAAAATGACTTATGAAGAGCAACAGACTGTTCAAAATGCCTTTTATCCACAACTCTAAGTCTACCAGATCCTACAGTAATTCATCTGCCTTTCCTAGCATGTCTCTGCGGCAGTGGCTTTGCAGCAGTTCCAGTCTGAGTTTCTACACCAGATAATTTACAAATCTCAGACTTCAAAAATACAATCTCCCGCCGCAAGATAGAGAACTGTCTACAGATAAGACAACAACCAAACCTCCAAAAAGTGGAACGTGAAACAAATGCATAGCAATTGTTACACTGAACTAAGTCTGCCATTCCAATTATGAGAATAATTAAAATCTAACAAATCTTAACTTTTTTCTTTATCCTCCTGAATACCTCAGATTACCTCCAGTTTCTCTCCAGAATATCTCCAGCTACACACTTAGAAACAGCACTTAAAAGTAGCACCAAGCTATATTAGACAAGCTAATGAGACCAAGCCTTATATAACTCCTTAAATCACCGCCCACTAGGAATGTTTAACACCTGGGTAGGCCTCTGCTTATTTGCAAACAATAGCTAATTAACCAGCAATCAACAACAAGTAACTAGCTTAACCAAATCAAATGCCTTATAATTACCAACAGGAATTCAAACCTTGGGCAATCAGTAACCTTTTCCTACAGATGAATCTTACCTGTAACAGTAGAAAAGAAAGCTCTTAGCACAACTCTTAGACAGTTGAAGCTTCTGTAAAACTCTCCAGAATATCTCCAACTAGACACTTAGAAACAGCACTTGGAAGTAGCACCAAGCTATATTAGACAAGCTAATGAGACCAAGCCTTATATAACTCCTTAAATCACCGCCCACTAGGAATGTTTAACACCTGGGTAGGCCTCTGCTTATTTGCAAACAATAGCTAATTAACTAGCAATCAACAGCAAGTAACTAGCTTAATCAAATCAAATGCCTTATAATTACCAACAGGAATTCCAACCTTGGGCAATCAGTAACCTTTTCCTACAGATGAATCTTACCTGTAACAGTAGAAAAGAAAGCTCTTAGCACAACTCTTAGACAGTTGAAGTTTCTGTAAAACTCTCCAGAATATCTCCAACTAGACACTTAGAAACAGCACTTGGAAGTAGCACCAAGCTATATTAGACAAGCTAATGAGACCAAGCCTTATATAACTCCTTAAATCACCGCCCACTAGGAATGTTTAACACCTGGGTAGGCCTCTGCTTATTTGCAAACAATAGCCAATTAACCAGCAATCAACAGCAAGTAACTAGCTTAATCAAATCAAATGCCTTATAATTACCAACAGGAATTCAAACCTTGGGCAATCAGTAACCTTTTCCTACAGATGAATCTACCTGTAACAGTAGAAAAGAAAGCTCTTAGCACAACTCTTAGACAGTTGAAGCTTCTGTAAAACTCTCCAGAATATCTCCAACTAGACACTTAGGATCAGCACTTGGAAGTAGTACCCCAAGCTATATTCAACGGGTGGGGGGCCATTATCATAATGGGGAGGCCCTCACTGTCCTTCTTTCTCGGCCCCCACCCCCCGCGCTGTGGGTGGGGGCCATAGGGTTAATGGGAGGGGGGACCTACTGTCTTTCTCGCCCCTGCACCCCCCTGAGCGGCGGGTGGGGGCCCTAAATACTAAAAAGGGGGGGGACCTAAGGTCCTTCCCCCCCGGCCCCCACCCTTGAGCGGCGGGTGGGGGCCCTAAATACTAAAAAGGGGGGGGGAC